AATATGTTTTTAGAGAAAAGTTAAAAGAATAGAAAAATGATAAATTTATAGGAAAAACAACACAAAAAGAAGAGTGAGAAATTTATAGAGCTTTAAAAAATTTAGAATTTAAAAAAAAAAAAATTGATTAGTAAAAAAATTATTTTAGAGACTTTCTAATCTTACAAAACTTTTGAAGTTCTAACGTCAATCAGACCCAAAACTTACAAAAGTAATCAGGTATATTTTTCTGTTTTAGATTTTTTTATAATATTTTTTATTAATTAATTTGTTCAATACTTAGTTCCAGCATCTCTATATTTTTTTCCAAATGATTAATATACCCTCCAAAACAATTGATGAATTTAAATGATCTTGGAAAAAATCAATTCAACACATACGTAGTAGCTTTTAAAGCATTTAAATTGATTACTGACTGTTCAATGCATTTATCTAAATTTATGTTTTATATTTTAAGAAAATGCAAATAAATTTACTAGAAACTAATTCTGATTCTATGAACCTTTTGATTTTGTATATGAAAAAATTGAATCACAAGCTTGATTGATAAAAATAATAAAACCTACCATTTTTATATCATATAAACAAAAAAAAATATTAAACGAAAATTGAACACAAACTTTGGCTAACAAAAAATAATATGATTCTAAACAATTCTATTTTATTATGCAAACTAGGTCATAACCCGTGCCTTGCACGGGATGAGATTATTATCTTTGTTATTTAGAGAATAAGAAGACATTATGTATGTTAATGTGAACATCGGTTTGGTTATAATTTGATTAACCAGATTCTTTTTCATAGAACTGTTAATTTTAGAACCCTACAAAGACAAGAATTATAGTCCGAAATTATATGGACACATTAAGCATACTTAAGATTACTAATTTGAAGAGTAAATGATGCCTATGTTTGAGTCGATTAGAACCATCTCAGTTGTTAGACCACCAGTTGCAGAATATTGATTCCACAAACGCGTGATCTTCACCATAATCTTCCATATAGACTTGAACGGTTTCATATCTTACATAGCAGTTATCGCATCCTTTATAGAAGAATGAGTGAAAAAATGTTTAGGTTTTGGGTTTAGGTTATGAGTAAGAAGATGGGAGACATGAGTCTTATATAGGTATAAGAAACCTAATGGAAGTTACGCATCCTTTATCGCATCCTTTATCTTACATAGCAGTTATCGCATCCTTTATAGAAGAATGAGTGAAAAAATGTTTAGGTTTGGGTTTAGGTTATGAGTAATTATAAGAAGATGGGAGACATGAGTCTTATATAGGTATAAGAAACCTAATGGAAGTTACGCCGTATCTCCAATAAAAAAATAATGTCAATATTCGTGTCTTGCTCAGCAATTTTCTTCTACCACAAGAATATATATATTTCCATAAACCAAAGTTTTGAAATCTATGTAAATCTTCTATCATTAATCAACCTTCCAATCACTCAAACGTAGCGAAATCATTTTTTAAAAAATTAACGCATGGTTTTCAAAATCAGAATTACAAAAAACCGATGGTTAACTCGATTTAAATGTCTTAACCAAATTAATCAAGAATTTTGGTTTAAACTTCCACTTGGGAAAAATGATACGAAAGAAACAAATATGTGCATGTTTTATTCTTGACATCTTTCTAATACAATCATGCACGTATAGAAACTTATATAACGGAGAGTTGAGTTTGTGCTATGAAAAAATCAATGCTTCCTCTATGTCTAATGTTGAATTCATTGACTTGCCTCATTGTCAGTATTCTCCCTGAAAAGAGAGGAAAATTCTTAGGCAAGTTCATGCTATGTTTTCTCCGTATTGCTTCTCCGTGAAAAGAGAGGAAGCTCGTTTTTGCAAGTTTCGCTTCATGATCATACAAATGTCTTGTATCCCTGAAGATCGTGAAGCAAATTCTGCAAGTTCATGCTTCTTTGAGGAAATCGACTATGAAATTCATGTTATGGCTTTTTCGTATTGCTTTCTTATTGAGAGTTGATGGGAGCTCCGTACAAGAAACTTCCATGTATGTTTTCGTATTGATGGGAGCTCCATAGAAGAAACTTTCACGCTATACATTAAAAAAACCTAAACTCCTTCCTAGAAGTTGTACTATCCTCGTGTTGGTCAAACTCCGTGAAGAAACTTTCTTTGTAGTAAAATGCTCTTCGTGAAGATTGTCTGTTTCGAAGGCAATCCTAAGTTTTTGTTAATGGGAGCTCCGTGAAGAAACCGAAAAAGAAGTTTTCATGTTATATCTTCTATCGTATCAAATCACTTAAAAGTTAAGAAAACGTAAAATCCTTCGGAGGTGTTGAACAATCGTCAAAAGCTAAACTACCATCAATTCTTTCGTCGAGATAACTCTTGACAGGAAAAAAAGTTTACGTTTGACATTACTTGGCAACAACAACATACAGCATTTGGCAACATACATATCCATGAGGGATGCATTCTTCGATTTACTCATCTCGAAAAGATGATCTTTTCGAGGATCACATGGCGTAGTTGGTCTCTTTATATGCCAAGACACGTAATATGGAAAGTTAGAAAATCTGTTTTATGAATTTGGCAATATTTTTTGTGAGAAGCATTCTGGAAGCGACACGTCAGCATTGTCTCCAATTCAATGTGAACGCATTTAATGCAAAATGCTTCTCTTTTAATATATAAGGGACTATAGTGATAACATTGTAATTTTTTTAACACTACTTGCATTTAAAATCAATCTCCCATAAGGGAAGGATTCATTACAAAAGCTTCTGACGCCAGAGCTTGTTTTTCTAAACAATCAGCAATTTTGTTTATATTCAAGCCGTTCTTTAATTGTGACGACAGCTTGAGATAAAATCTCCAGGAGAATAAAACTTTTTGTTGAATATTAACTCATTTCGAGATCATTTGCACTTTGCTTATTTAATACAAAATTTCACTAAAATTACTATCATGTTTCATTTATGAATGATAAGGAAGTTTGTACGCTTATTTTCATATATATCTTATTATAGTATTCAACAATCTTGACGTATATATCTGATAGATAATCGATATAAAATATTATCTTTAAATCTCAATATTCTAAGTTATTATTAAATAATATTACTATAAAATCCACTAAAATTAAATAAAACAAATATTTAATACTATAAATTTTTACTAAATTGTATAACATTAGAATTTTAACGTATTTTACAAGAAGGATAACAAATGCCTAATCCAAATAACACTAGCAGTGAAAAGAACTAATGAAAAGTACAATTGAACAACATTAATAAAGAGATGTTAGTAGGAGTTAAATTAAATCAATATATTAAAATTTGGAAAAAATTGAGAGAATTTAGTATACTGTAAAAATCTATGAGATAATTTATTATAATGATTATAAAAGTATAATTAATATATATAATATAGTAAACATATTATTTTATAAGTTAAGTGATTATGAATACAGTTCCCATTAACACTCCTTAAGTTTCTTCAAATTCAAAACTCCCACTTAAGTATTTTGTTTGGCATTGCTAAGTGAACTGGAATCCAAGTCAAAACCTAGCCAAAATCTCTAATTTGTATTCAATACAAACTTTTAGAAACTCGAACAAGTTTTATAAATTGGTATTTCAATATCTGATATACAAAATTCGTAACCGACTCAAAAATATATTTTAAACAAAAATATTCAATTATAATTTAAAAATCTAGTAACAATCATATCTATCTAGAAATTAATATTAAAAGTGAGTTTTAAAATTTAAGTAAAAATATTTGAGCTTGCCACAAAAATATTTAATCTTGAACTATTGTTACATAATTTAATGAGTTCATACTAAATTTTGGTTTGAGTTTTAAAATTTAGCCGAACCCTAATAAAATCAGTTTAAATATCCATATAAATTTCAAATAAAACCTAGATAGCTATATGGATTTTTTTTTTAACTTTCTGATTATAATTATTTTTAGTATATACTTTTGATATCTACTAACCGATGATATTTAATCAATAAACAATAAATTATAAATTTAAAACATATTAGTTTTTCCAAGTCAAAATAAAAATATAAAATTATAGTTTGTAGAATAAATATAATTTTAGTAAATCTATTTTTCAGGAATGAATATCTTTCATAAATGGAAGGAATATATGTACATTTTATCTTATTAGGTAGAAAATAATATACATTTTTTTCCTTTGACTTTCCCAAGACCCAATCTACATAGCTATATGAATTTTTTTTTAAACATTCTCTGATTATAATTAACAGTACTAATTTTTTACTATACACTTTTGACAGTTATTAACCAATGATATTTAATCAATAACTTATGATTTATTATAATTAAAACTATTATTTTATAAGTATACACTTTTCGACAGTTTATTTAATCAATAATTAATGTTTATTAAAAAATATAATTTATCAATATAAATTACCAAAAAAATAAAAATATTTGTGTAGAACAAATATAATTTTATAAAATCAATAACATTCAGGAATGTATAAGTATATCTTTCAGAAATGGAAGGAATATATATATATATATATATATATACATTTTATCTTATTAAGTAGAAAATAATACACAATTTTTTTGCTCTTGACTTTCTCAAGATCCAATCCAGATACCTATATGAAATTCTTTAAAACATTCTCTGATTATAATTAACAGTACTAATTTTTTTTACTATACACTTTTGACAGTTAACCAATGATATTTAATGAATAATTTGTATTTTAAAAATATATGATTTATTATAATTAAAAGTATTTTTTTAATATACACTTTTCCACAGTTTATTTAATCAATAACTAATAGTTTTTTTAAAATATAATTTATCAATATAAATCATATTTTTGTACAATAAAAGATAATTTTAAAAAATCAATAACTTTTCAGGAATGTATAAGTATATCTTTCAGAAATGGAAGGAATATATATAGATACATTTTATCTTATTTAAGTAGAAAATAATACACAATTTTTTTTTCTTTTGACTTTCTCAAGACCCAAATCTAAAGAAGAGAAAAAAATCTAAATCGGAGAGTGAAGGAAGAAAGGGTTATAAAATGGAAGGAAGCAGATTCTTTTCCTCTGCCCATCTTTAAAGAGAGAGAGAGAGAGAGGAGATCTAGGGTTTCTTCTTCTTCTTCGATTCCAATTTTGAGTATGATGGACTCTCTTGTTTCCGGAGATATGGCTTCTCTCGACGCCGATTTGCTTCAGCTCCCTGAGATGTCAACCTTCGTCCTCAAAACTAGACCTGATTTCACCCAGAAGCTATTCGATCAGTGGCTTTCGCTCCCTGAAGCTCATCGTCAGGTCAATTTCGGGTTCTTTATATGCTTCACTGAGTTGTGGAAGACGTGAATCTTTGAAACGTTAGATGATTAGGTTTTTGTGTGGAGTAGATTTGTTATGGAAGTGAGTGTTTGGATTTTGATTAGGTTGTTGGATTGATAAGGAGATGATTAGGTTTTTTTGTGTAGAGTAGGATTTGTTATGGAAGTGACTGTTTGATTTTTGATTAGGTTGTTGGATTGATAAGGAGATGGTTAGTTTTTTTTGTGTGTAGAGTAGATTTGTTATGGAAGTGAGTGTTTGGATTTTGATTAGGTTATTGGATTGATAGGGAGATGATTAAGTTTTTCTGTGTAGAGTAGATTTGTTATTAGAGTGGCTGTTTGATTTTTGATTAGGTTATTGGATTGATAGGGAGATGGTTAGGTTTTTTTTTGTGTAGAGTAGATTTGTTATTAGAGTGGTTGTGTGCGTTTGATTAGGTTATTGGTGTGTCTTGTTGTGAAGTAGTGTTTATTTTGGAAGAAGATGTTTAGGTTTGTCTGTGTGGAGTAGATTTGTTATCGATGTGACTGTTTGATTTTTGATTAGGTTATTGGTGTGTCTTACTGTGAAGTAGTGTTTATTTTGGAAGAAGATGGTTAGGTTTCTGTGTGGAGTAGATTCGTTATTGATTTGATTGTTTGATTTTGATTTGCTCATGCGTTATGCTTCTCTTAAATAGGAATTGTATATTGGATAGATATGAATTCTGGACGATGGAGCTATGTGAGTACTTGGAAGATTCTTAGGTTTTTTTGTATATAGCAGATTTGTTATTAAGTAGACTCTTGTGTTTCTCTTCTCTTCATGTGCTATGCGTTTTGTTTGTTGCCTATTGGATTGATATGAGTTGTGGAAGGTTTGAATCTTTAAACCTAAGATGCTTAGGTTTATGTGTAGAGTAGATTTGGTATCAGAGAGTGACTGCTTGATTTTGATTTCTTCATGCGTTATGATTCTATTAAATAGGGATTGCATAGGAATTGTGGAAGACGATGCTTCATTGCGATTTCTCTGTTGTCTATGGACTGATATGAGTTGTGGAAGACGTGAATCTTTAATCAGAGCAATTGTCTTTCCTTAGGAAGCAGATGTTTAGGTTTCTTCATTGCGATTTGTAATCAAAGTAACTGTTTGATTTTGATTTCTGCATACATTATGCTTCTCTTAAATAGGAATTGCCTATTGGATATATACGTATTGCCGAAGACGTTGCTTAGGTTTTTTTGTTTTGAGCAGATTTGTTATTAAATAGACTCTCTGCTTCTCTTTTCTTGATGCGTTATGCTTCTCCTAAAATAGTAGAATCATTAGTGTAAACAGTTTTTTCACTGAAATTGTCCATCTTTCCTTATATTTATAGGTTACATCATTGCTTCAAGATGCAATGTCTGGAGCTCCTTTGAATGTTCCTGGAAGTGCATCTGGTTCTGGTCCTGGCACCACCAATTCTTTACCTTCCATGTTTCCAGCTGGAAGTGCTCCTCCACTTTCACCTAGAAGCTGCAGCTCACCGCGTATGATGAAACAGAGGGCTCCTTCTAATTTAGGCTCTCCTCTCAAAGTACTCAACGAGCCTGTCAAAGAGTCCATACCTCAGGTTTTGATTGTGCATCTTTTGTTTTTCATTCTTGCTTCTTTTTATGTTCTAACGGAGTCATTTATCTATGATGGATGTAGTTTTATTTTCAAAATGGTCGCCCACCTCCAAGTGAGATTAAAGAGCAATGTATGTTTAGAGTCAACCACTTTTTCTATGGCCATATGGATGGACTTCAAATACAAGGTAACGGGATCATGAGCTTTTTAAAATATCTAAAGCGAAACTTATACGGAAGTGCCTTATTAACTTTCAACCCTTTTCAATACTCAGAATTCAAATTAGTCACCAGAGAAATCTGCAAGCTCCCATCTTTCTTCTCCACCTCACTTTTCAGGAAGATCGATGTCAATAGTACAGGTTTTGTTACTAGGTGTGTGTGTGCCTTATATGTTCTTTGTTCTATAGAATCTGATATTTGCGGTGTGCTTCAAGCTTGCTTCTCATTTCGTGATGAAAATGTTGGAAGGCCAGTTATAACATACTCTTAAAGTGAATTTTCTTTTTTCGTTTATGCAGAGAAGCATTTATTGATTATTGGGTAAACGGGAACATGTTGATAATGGATATGACGACCCAAATATTTAAGATACTAAAGCAGCAAAATCAAAACTTCCTTGTGAAGGTAATTTCTTTTGTTTGCCTTATTTAGTAATTGTAGTCAATGTATTTCTCCAACATCTTTTCCCGTCTGTTTGCATAATCATTCACAGGAGGATTTTAAGCCACTACTTAAGGAACTTTTGGCAACACATCCTGGGCTAGAGTTTTTGCAAGGCACACCTGAATTCCAAGAAAGATACGGTTAGGTCTTAACTTCAGTTGCATTTTAGTCAGTTTCCTATTTCGTCTCATCTCCAAATAATGACGACAAGGGGATAATCTTCCTTATTTGCTAGTTTTTGTCTAGCTTATTAGTGTGAATTGTGGTCATGAGCCTGCGAGAACACTTTAGTTTTAACACTGTCTAGAAGCAACAGTCTTTTGCATTTGTTGCTGTTGGAAAAGAAGGCTTTCTGATACAGGTTTTTTTTATGGGCCAGCTGAAACTGTTACCTACAGAATCTTTTACTACATAAACAGATCTGGAAATGGTCGACTTACATTTAGGGAGCTTAAACGAGGAAATTTAATTGATGCTATGCTTCATGCTGATGAAGAAGAAGATATCAACAAAGTGTTGAGGTACTGGCAAAACGAGTCTGTTCTATTGCTGTAAATATTGAAGCAAGCTTTGAGCTGCGCGGAGCTGCAACTTATAGTTTTGTGTCTCTTCTTCTGTCATCAACACTTTTCTATTACCGTTGAAAACTAGGTACTTCTCATATGAGCATTTCTATGTCATATACTGCAAGTTCTGGGAGCTGGATTCAGATCATGATTTCCTGATTGACAAAGAAAACCTTATGAAATATGGCAACCATGCTCTTACTTACCGGATTGTCGACAGAATATTCTCCCAGGTTTCTCCTAAAAACTTGATCTGTTAGCTGCAAAATGATTACTTCTCTTAAGATGACTGTCATGATGGATGCATTAATTTCTACTCAGGTTGCTAGGAAGTTTACTAGCAAAATTGAAGGGAAAATGGGGTATGAGGATTTTGTCTATTTCATACTTGCGGAAGAAGATAAATCATCAGAGCCTAGCCTAGAATACTGGTAAGCTGTAACGCAAGGATCCAAAGCTGCCAGACAGAGCATTTCGAATGTTTTAATCTGACTTAATGATATATTGCACCAGGTTTAAGTGCATAGACTTGGATGGGAATGGGATTATTACGCGGAATGAGATGCAGTTCTTTTTTGAGGAGCAGTTGCATCGCATGGAGTGCATGGCGCAAGAGGCTGTTCTTTTTGAGGATATCTTATGCCAGATAATTGATATGATCGGACCAGAGGTGAGAACAATTATGTCTCTTGTTAATATGGATATTATATGCTTAAGCTTCTTTGTTTAAGTCCGAAGACATAGCTGATGTTTATAGTTTCTTGTTGTGTTTCATCGTTTCTTGTTGGTTGCCACAGGATGAGAGCTATATAACCCTGAATGATCTGAAGGGATCAAAACTCTCTGGAAACGTCTTCAACATCCTATTTAATCTTAATAAATTTATGGCATTTGAAACACGGGATCCCTTCCTCATTCGTCAGGTACCTCTTGTCTGATATTTTTAACATTGCAGCTTCTTTGGTGCGAAGGTTCTCTTATTAAAATTTGTCAAAATGGAAACAGGAACGTGAAAACCCAACATTAACAGAGTGGGACCGTTTTGCACATAGAGAATACATAAGGCTTTCAATGGAAGAAGATGTTGAAGATGCTTCCAATGGAAGTGCTGAGGTTTGGGATGAGTCTCTGGAGGCTCCCTTCTAAGTCCATCCAGGTAACTTTGAGGATTCACTCTTAGAAGCAACAGAAACTAAAGAAGAAACTTAATACATTGTTTCATCATATTGGTTGAATCATGCAGGCTGGTTCCATTATCACTGAAGAGAAATACCAAAGTCATTGAGAGAAAATCTTGGGAACTTGCTGTAGTAAACGAAAGAGAAAGAAGAGTATCATCTCTGCTTCAACATTCGTTCGTTGTTAAGTCATCTTGGTGAGGTGGGTTCACAACTGGGAATCCAGGTTTGAAACCAGAAACTGGTGTTTTCCTTTTCAGTTAGCTGTTGTTATATATAGACAAGTTTATTTTATTTTATTTATCATTATAATCAGTGAGCGATGCTGAGTTGCGGACTGCATGTTACAATCGCACTTGTTTAATCTTGTGTTGTTCAGAATTGTTAATGTTCCTTTAATCAATTGGTTGGTTTTTTTTTTTTTTTTTTGAGATTTGGAGAGTTTTCGTCATTTTTTCGCTAAGCTGTAATCGTATCCAGCCCCATCTTGAATACTCTAATATATGGTTTATGTTCTTGTATGACTTTATTTTTATAAGAATGTAAATTTCATTAAGTAAATAATATTTGAAACTAATATCTAAATATAATAGTGATTGGGTTATTGATGAAAACAAAATGATATACAAGAAGTTAAGTATGTCAAGAACTACTAAAGCTGGCATACTTATAGCTCTTGTATATCATTTTGTTCTTATCAATATCCAATTACTATTATATTTAGATATATTAGTTTCAAATATTTGACCCCAAAAAAAAATTAATGATCCAAAACATTTTGTGTACCCGAAGAACAAAAAACCCTTAAAGAGGTAAAAGAACAAATTGACTGATGTACTTACCTTTTCTGGTCGACCAAATATTATTATTCTAATCAAAATTTGCTACATTGTCGTGACCCCCCACCACTTTTAACACTCTTCCTTAATTACTCGGTAATCTGTTTCCAAGCTGTTGTTGAATATGTGTAGCTTCGCAACACTTCAATAGCAAGCAGCTCGTGTTTGGTTAATTGATTGTCTGATTTGAAGATGTGGAGTTCACCTCGTATGCAGTTTGCTTCTCATTTTATAGCCACTTGTTCATGAGTATTAATGTACAACCCAGTATAACAGTCTTTTAAGTGTTTGACTATTCAGAGAAGCATTTATAGATTATTGGATAAACGGCAACATGTTGACAATGGATACATCAACACAAGTCTTTAAGATACTAAAGCACCACAATCAGAATTTTCTTTTATTCTTATGTTTGCATTTTCAAATTTCTGGCAGGATGATTTCAAACCACTACTTAAAGAGCTGTTGGCAACACATCCTGGCCTAGAGTTCCTGCAAACCACACCTGAGTTCCAAGAAAGATATGGTCAGTAGTTTCTTATTTTTTTTATCATGTTTTATTTTCCCTCTTGGTGTTTTGCTTGAGTTTGTTGTTTAGTTGTAGAAATTATTCTTAGACATCTTCTTATGACAGCTGTGGTTTGCAGCAATTCTTAGAAATTTCGTCTGATACACTTTTCTTTAATTTGCCGAGCCAGCTAAAACTGTTACCTACATAATATTTTACTACATAAATAGATCTGGAAATGGTCAACTTACATTTAGGGAGTTTAAACGAGGAAACTTAATAGATGCAATGATTCATGCTGACCAAGAAGAAGACATCAACAAAGTGTTGAGGTACTGAAAAAAAAAGTTCATATAAACTTATTGTAACTATTTTTATATACATAGTATTTGATATCAACAGTTTTCTATTAGATACTTCTCATATGAGCATTTCCATGTCATACACTACAAGTTCTCCTGCTCTTACTTTACCGATCGTCGACAGGATATTCTCCCAGGTTTTGTATTAAAGACTGCATCCCTTTCAAGACTTATGTCCTTATTTGATGAAAACCTCCCAATATCACATCATTATTGTTCCAAGTTATTAGCTCTCTTCACTGATAGTGCATTGGTTATTTCTCTTAATTCCCTATGTCACTATCTTTTATATCTTTCTCGATAGTGGTTATTCTATGGTCAAACCATTCTACTAGTATTTAAAGGAAAATATAGGATGGTCTCAGAAGTTGTTTGTTGATTTTGGAGGTGATTTATATCTCTGGTGCACTAGTGAAAAAATCATATTTGATATAATTTTCTTAGGGTTAGAGCACCGCCATTGAGAGTTCAAATGGGGGTTCACACGGAAACTAAAAAAATAAAATAATAAAATAACCAAAATCTATGAACCCCTCTCTCCTAAAGTTCACTCGGGTGAATCCCTCCCTCCTAAGGTTCAACACGTGTCGGCCCGGGATTGGTCTAGGTCTTTTTTTTTTCTTTTTTTTTTTTAAAAAAAATTCAAAAAGAAAACAGAAAAATTTTAATAATAAAATATTGATTCAATGAACCACAAGAGAGGGTTCATTGACGTGGATGCTCTGATGAAAATCGTTTCTAATAGATAAAAGAAATCAGAAGAAGATACAATGTCAATGTAAAGAGAACCATCGGGAATATTTTATTTTCTTTCCGTATTATATATGCTTCTGAAACATTATCTTGCTGTCGATCGGTAAGATTAGAAGAAAAAATATAAAAAATAGATTTACTTGTAAGAGCATCAAACCAGATAAGCACCAATCCTAGTCAAAGATTGAATACCGACTAAAATATATATTCAAAAGCTTTACGAAACCGTGCCAAAGGAGTATATATAGTTTATTATATTTTACTTTGAATATGCAAACGCACACCGACGACATATAGACGTCTCCGATTCTATAAATTGGACTCAAACTCGTAAAGACGAGCATATCAAATATATCACAAAATTGCAAAGATAAAACGAGAAGAAAAATGTCGTCTGAATGTCCTGGTAATGTTTCTTACTGTATATAATTTGTTATTATTTTCTTTCTTTTTGTGTCGCCATGTTGATGTTTCAGTCACAAAACTCAAAAGGTCATTTACCGAAACTATGTCCTGAGAGGCATGGTCTAGGGCATGTAACATATTGTTTTAATTAACGTCATGAATATCTTGTAATGGACTTTTGATCTTTAAAATGTCAACCAACTTTAAATTACCAACCGATCTATCTAACGTGGTTGCTTTGAGTGCGTGCAGGGAAGACCTCATGGCCGGAGCTTGTGGGATCAGATGGAAACGATGCGGCTTCGGTGATCGAAAGTCAGAACCCTGGAGTCAAAGCAGTCGTGATTTTGGATGGATCTCCGGTGACTGGAGACTTCCGTTGCGACCGGGTCTGGGTGAGGGTTGATAAAGAAGTTGATGGTATCGTCGTCCAAGTTCCTACCGTCGGTTAGACTTGTGTATGGACCATGCTGTTACTAATATGAATAAAATAAAACTACGTACAAAGAATGGTTGATTGTTGGTTGGTCATGATGTAATTTTCTCGTTTCCGTGGACAATTTCGGGTTTCGTTACCAGAACGGTTACTGATGTCCAAAGTTATAAATAAACGTTTGTATAACGTAAAGGTTGCAAATAAAATGCATGTCCTATTTATAGTAAGATAGCTAGGGATCAGCATTGATTTTATATCTAATATCATTTATTTGCTTCATATGCTATCATATATATATATATATATATTGATGTGCAGTGTTTAAAACAGTTAATGAAGAACGAAATAGTGTCTGCGACCATTTTTTAAAAGGGAATCCCGTGGATAAATTAAAGCAGACCCTAAGAAATACAAATTTTAGAAAAAGGTCGATATGACTAACAAAATGATATAAGATTAATTTATTCATGCTACTGCAACCGTTAGCAGATGTAATAAAACCAATCCACCCTTTAGAAAGAAATAGATAGGAAAGCTATTTCCCATCCAGTATGATAATAATCACTGATTAGTACTTGTATCCGGTAACGGATTTTTCAAAATCGAAGTCACTAATAAAGATCAACTATGAGCATTTCTGGGAGTGAGCATGCCATTGACAGGAGTTTCTTGCAATCACAAGTTAACTAAACGTCTGTGTCAAAGTCCAAAAATACAACTGAATTCAAACGTATAAAGGTCAGAGGGATGATCCCCTTTCTCTAGGTGGACGAATTTTTATTTTTATCTTTAAACTACGTGTGGATATTAATTAAAAATTTAAGATTTTCAAATCTTGACAATGTTAAAGGATGTATTAAAAGCTTTTGCCAAACAAATTGTCAATTCTTGACAATGTCAAAGGATATATAAAAAGCTTTTGTCAAACAAATCATATTAAAAGCTAAAGTCATATATATATATATATATATATATTAGTTAAGAACATCTCCAACAATTAACTTTATTATTTGGGTGGATGATCTCTAAAAAGACAGTTTGAAAATGGATTACTTTAACAATGAACTCCTTTGATTTATTACTTTTTAATTTAGATTTTTAAGAATAATAATTAATTATTAGCACTAAATTTATATAAGTAAATAATAAATACACTTTAACAATGGAAAAACACAAAGAAAAGCAAGTGGGCCACTGAGCCACCGAGTCAAACCCTGCAAGCCATTGAGCGGAAAAGGGACTATTTCTATCCAAACAATTTCAATCATGTCAAATATAAGTTATAATTTAAAAAACTACTTAAAACTACATTAGATGTAACAAAAGTTAATTAACCGTTAAAATAGTTTTATTATTTTTAAAAAAATATGCACATACCAAGACTCAAATCTGTGTCATGTTACTCTTTAAAATTGACATATCAACCACTAAACTAAAATAACTTTTTAAATAATACTACAAATTTGAAATTATATATACTATTATATTTTCTTTCTTTTCTCTAATTCAAACTTTGATTGTTCTATTTTTGATTCTTATAAATATATTGATAAGAATCAAAAATGTTATTATAGTTCAATTATAACACTGAGATCTCTACCATTAATATGTTATTATAGTTCAGTTATAAGTTATAAGGCCATGTTTATTGCAGTTTTTTAAGTACGGTTCTTTAGTTTTTAACCAAAAAAAACCAAGAGATGTCCTTTATAAGAAATATAAAAAACGTCTTTTAATTTTTTTAGTTAAAAGTTAATGAACGTATATTAATAGATCCAACTTATTGGACCTGGATTCTAACACATATCTTTATAATATGGAACTTGAACAATTATTGACGAAAAAAAACAATTATTGAAACGTCTAAAAAAAGTAGGTGAAACTGAGTTGGTGGGTAAGCAAAAAGTCCCATGTGTCATTTAAAAAACAAAACAATTAATATTCTATATATTATACACAGTATATATAAACAAAATGATCCTTCAGACAGGTTTGCTCGTCACAAACAACATCAACAATGGGATCTACGGTTCAAAAATCAGCGTTACTGTTATGCGGAGACTACATGGAATCCTACGAGACAATTGTTCCTCTCTACACCCTCCAATCCCTTGGCGTCAGCGTTCACTGCGTTACCCCCAACCGCACCGCCGGCGACCGCTGCGTTATGGCGGCCCACGACTTCACGGGCCTCGAGCTATACACCGAGCTGGTCGTTGACCAGTTGACTCTAACCGCCAACTTCCATGACATCACTCCTGAAAATTATGACGTCATCATCATCCCCGGCGGAAGGTTCACGGAGACTCTCAGCGCCGACGAGAGGTGCGTGGACCTCGTGGCGCGTTTCGCCGAGTCAAAGAAGATGATTTTCACCAGCTGTCACAGCCAGGTTATGCTGATGGCTGCCGGAGTACTCGCCGGAGGTGTGAGATGCACGGCGTTTGAGAGCATGAGGACTCTGATAGAACTCTCCGGCGGCGCGTGGTGGCAGCAGCCTGGGGTAGAGAGTATGTTTGAGATCACTGATTGTGTCAAGGATGGGAATGTTGTGAGTATGGTTGGTTGGCCAACGCTTGGTCACGCGGTTAGGGTTTTGGTGGAGTCTCTTGGGGGGCAAGTCTTGAAGGAGAATCCAACTTCTGTGCTTTTCCTCATTGGGGTAAGTTCCAGTTTTACTATGTGTAATTTATAGTATGTTTTTATTAGGCATGAGGTTTTGGTTTATTCTGTTAAATCAGTTAGGATCATTCAATCATCGGTTAGCTTATGAGGACTTGGTTTTCGTTTTGCACTTTAATTTATTTGGTTTTCCTCCTACTAATAACTATATTTACCTTTCATTTGATTTTGAATGATGATATTTGATGTTTCTTTCTTATTTTTGAATCAATTTGACTTATGTTTTGGGTACAAAGTAGGTATCAATCAAGTACTTTAACACCGACGAACCAATTGTGACCTGAATCCGAAAGTATAACGGATTATACCGGTTTTTTGAAGATTTACAAACCCCGACTCGAACTCGATAGAACCTGAACCAGTCCTGAACCGAACTTTCATAAAACCTGAATGGGGTTAAATTTTATAAACCCGAAAAATTGAGATCCGATTGGGACCGAACACCCATGCCTATAATTTGGTTCATTTTCCTTGGTTAGTTTGGATAATTCTTTTTCTTGGAATTTTATTAATTTTTTTTTGTTACAAAACCCAACTAACAATTACCAAACCAGAAACCCGATTTTTCAAAAGTTTGCCAAATCGAAAACCAAAATTTTGGTTCTGGTTCGGGTATTTTATCCTAAGGCTGGTTTCAATCATAGTTTGTGTTGTGTTGGCATTGAAGGACTATGTAGAGGACTATGGGATCAATGTACCATTTAGAGCACTACAAGCTTTAGGATGTAAAGTGGATGCAGTGACACCGAACAAGAAGAAGGGAGAGATGTGTGCAACATTGGTTTACGACCTTGAGGAGGGAAGGCAGCTTCCTGAAGAGAAGCGAGGGCACAACTTCCTTGTGACTGCGTCTTGGGACGATGTATGTGTTGATGATTATGACTGTGTAGTGGTTCCAGGAGGAAGATCACCTGAGCTACTAGTGATGAATCAAAAGGCTGTTGCTTTGGTCAAGAAGTTTGCTGAGAAAGATAAGGTCTTTGCAGCTATGGGACAGGGTAAATTGCTACTTGCAGCTACCGGTGTACTTAAGGTAAGTCACTACTTTTTCACTTTATAGTGAATTGTATTTTATATGCATAGACTATAGAAAATGTGATTTAATTTTGTAGCTAGTATCATTTCTTGGTCACGTGACATTTTTCTTGATGAAACTCTAGGGGAAGCGATGCGCTAGTGGAAAGGGGATGAAGGTGATGGTAGAGGTGGCTGGAGGTGAAGCTGTTGTGTCAAACGGATGTGTGACTGACGGAAAGCTTGTGACGGCTGCATCAGCTTCAGATCTGCCAGAGTTTTTGTCTGGTTTATCAACTGCTCTTGGTGTCTCTGTCATGTTCTAAGATTTTCCAAGATAATTTGGATAATAAAACATAACTTACAAAGCTAAGCGCGTTTGGTTTCGCACAAATATTTTTTTATGATCTAAGAGATATAAAATACTCTTGCTATGAATGTTGATGTCATCTAGAAAATTATATTGGGTAACTTTTTCTTGAACAATTATCTATTTAAACAACACATTCTTTTAGAGTAACAAACTTATCTTTCATTAATTTTTATATATTTTTAAAAAGTTACAATCCGACATTCATATAATTAACTGTTTGTTTATCTAAAGATCCACCAGAATTAACTTGGTTTACATGTCTTATGTCTTGTCGCAACTCCTCTATGAAGAGATTTTTCCTCAAACAACACATACCTTCTAGAGTAGCTAACTATGTACATTTTTATGATCTTATATATTGAACCTTTTATTGTAGAACTTTTTTGTAAAATATATTTGGTATCCTTAGTATTCTTTGTCAATCTCATTTGCTATCTATTGGTAGAGCTAATGATAAATCAATAACAGTATGTTATAGAAGCACTATGCTCTCATTTATGTGTTTAATAGTGTGATTGATAAAACAATAAATGATTCATATATAAAATTATAATAAAAATTAGTATATGATATGTAATTTAATTATTCCTGAATGATATAGATATATATTTATATTTATATTTATCTTTATGATATATAAATATATATTATTTGATGTTTTTGTTATTAAAAATAATGACTCATATTTAATTATATAAATTATATTATAATGTGAAATATTATTCTTTTTAAAAAGCTAAAAATATTTTAGGGGAAAATTTATGCTTGGAAATATAAACTTAATTTTTAGATACAAATATTTGACCCCAAAAAAATTATTGATCCAAAACATTTTGTGTACCCAAACAACAAACAAAACCCTGAAAGATGTAAAAGAACAAATTGACTGGATGTACTTACCTTTTCTGGTCAACCAAATATTATTATTTTAATCAAGATTCACAGATCGCTACATTGCTCGTGACCCCCACCACTTTTAACACTCTTCCTTAATTACTCGGTAATCTGTTTCCAAGCTGTTGTTGAAGATGTTTAGCTTCCTAACACTTCAATAGCAAGCAGCTCGTGTTTGGTTTGATTGATTGTCTGATTTTGAAGATGTGGAGTTCACCTCGTATGAAGAAACAGAAACCTGAAGGTTCCTCACTAAAACTAACTAACGAGCCTCTTAAAGAGTCATTGCCTCAGGTTCTCAACTGCTTCTGCAGAGCCTTTAAACAATATTTTGCTTCTTTTATATACTTATGGAGTAGAAACACGGTTACAGTTTTATTTTCAAGATGGTCGGCCACCACCAAGCGAGATGAAAGAGCAATGTATGTTTAGAATCAACCATTTTTTCCATGGTCACATGGATGGACTTCAGATACAAGGTAACTCTATTTAAAGGTAACACTTACACTAGCTGCCTTGTTTAACTCTAATACTCTTCTCATAACTCAGAGTTCAAATTAGTCACCAGTGAAATCTGCAATCTCCCATCTTTCTTCTCCACTCCACTTTTCAGGAAAATCGATTTCAATAATACAGGTTCTGTTACCAGGTGTGTGTGTGTGTGTTTTTCTATGCTCCTTGTTAATGAGTATTGTACAAACTAGTTTAGTGTTTGACAATGCAGAGAAGCATTTATTAATTATTGGGTTAAGGGGAACATGTTGACAATGGATACAGCAACACAAGTCTTTAAGATACTAAAGCAGCAGAATCAGAATTTTATTGTTAAGGTAATTTCATTTTGATTGTCATGATAGTTAAGTTAATCTATACCAATCTCCTTGTTCTTATGTTTGCATTTTCAAATTTCTGGCAGGATGATTTCAAACCACTACTTAAAGAGCTGTTGGCTACACATCCTGGCCTAGAGTTCCTGCAAACCAAACCTGAGTTCCAAGAAAGATATGGTCAGTAGTATCCTATTTTTTTAGTATGGTGTTTAGTTGTAGAAACTATTCTCACAAGTAGATGTTTAGCTACCAACAACTCTGTTCTGTCTAGAATAATCTATGTTCTTGTCTTAGACAATTTCCTATGACTTGCAATTTTCTCTGATACACTTTTATTTAATTTGCTGGGACAGTTGAAACTGTTACCTACAGAATATTTTACTACACAAACAGATCTAGAAATGGTCGACTTACATTTAGGGAGCTTAGACGTGGAAACTTAATTGATGCAATGATTCATGCTGACCAAGAAGAAGACATCAACAAAGTGTTAAGGTACTGAAAAAAAAATAGAGAGTTCATATGGAACTGTTCTATGTTGTATATATGGTAATCAACAGTTAACTTTGGTTACTAGGTACTTCTCATATGAGCATTTCTATGTCATATACTGCAAGTTCCGGGAGCTGGATACAGATCATGATCTCCTGATTGATAAAGAAGATCTCATGAGATATGGAAACCATGCTCTTACGTTACGGATTGTCGACAGGATATTCTCTCAGGTTTTTGTCTTTAAAGACCTTGATACTTTCAAGACTTTATGTTTTTTCTTGCTCCTAGTTATTAAATAATGCATTGGTTTGCTACTCAGGTTGCTAGGAAGTTCAGTAGCAAAGTTGAAGGGAAAATGGGGTATGAGGATTTTGTGTATTTCATACTTGCGGAAGAAGATAAATCTTCAGTGCCTAGCCTAGAATACTGGTAAGATTTGACGTTATGATCCAAATGTGCCAGACATATTTTTTTTTTTGTATCTGACATGATGATATATTGTACTAGGTTTAAGTGCGTAGACTTGGATGGGAATGGGATTCTTACACGAGATGAGATGCAGTTCTTTTATGAGGAGCAGATGCGTTGGAAGGAATGCATGGCAGAAGAGGCTGTTCTTTTTGAGGATGTCTTATGTCAGATAATTGACATGGTTGGACCAGAGGTTGAAACACTATCTCTCATGATATTGTGGTTTTATTATATACTAAAGCCATTATAGTATTTTGTTATGTGTTTGGGCAGAACGAAAGCTATATAACCCTGCGTGATATGAAGAGATCCAAGCTCTCTGGAGAAGTCTTCAACATGCTGTTTAATCTTAACAAATTTATGGCATTTGAAACACAAGATCTATTGCTTATTCCTCAGGTACTTGTTGTCTGATATTTAACCTTGGTGCTTCTTTACGCGGGGGTTGCTCTTATAACATTTCAAAACGGAAACAGGAGTGTGAGAAGCCTACGTTGACAGAGTGGGACCGTTTTGCACATAGAGAGTACATAAGGCTTTCAATGGAAGAAGATTCATTGAATGGAAGTGGTGAAGTTAGGGATGAGTTACTAAAGACTCCCTCATGAGTTCATAAAGGTAAAGCTACTCTCTTCTTATATGATACACAACCTTTTGTTAGTCTCTTTTTAAGATATTTACTTAGATAAGAAGGGGTTGATTGTGTTGTTGTTTGTAGTATTCAATCTTATTTGTGAAATTCAAAAGGAACACATTTGCTATATAAGAGGAGGAAACATATATTTTGCTCTGTTCAGCTCATCTTCCAATCATCTTCAGTTAATGTTGTTGCAGGGCCTTCACAGCAACTGCTTTCTAAACTGAACAAAAACACAAAGCTATGAAGAAACAATTTTCTTGTAACAAAACTGTAGTTAATGCATCTCTGTGTGTTACACAAAACACCTAACTTAATTCTCAATAAACAAAGTCTCGTCAACCAATCAATATGCTTTTCTAATCTTCTCTGGCTCGTTTCCTTGATACTGAAGCAGCAGCAGATTCACTTTGGTCCCCTGTATGTGTCACAACACCAGATTCAGCTTCTGCAGATGCGCCGTTGCATTGCTTTGATGAGGAAGAGCTCTTCTTCTCTTCTAACTTCTGTTGTTTCTCAAACATCATCTGTAGCTGTCGTCCCTGTTTCTCAATCTGCAACTGCAGCGCCCGTTGATTCTGATACATATATATATAAACAAACATCAACCAATAGTCACAACAGGCTAGTTCTTCAGGCAAAGAAGGATAGTTTTGTTAGTGAAATTTTATTACCTCGAGCTGCTCATGGAGACGTTTCTGAACTTCCATCTGTAACCTTAGAGCTTGTGTGATCTCAACGCTCCTGCAAAAGAGAATAGTAATATAAATTAACTCGCTGGAAACAAATTAAGTTAACAGTATTATAATCAATACTCTCTAGTTTGTTATGCAGTCAAGAAACTGATTTTTTTTCTTACGTTTTCATGTCAAGAGATTTGATATCTTCAATAGATGTCATCTTCTTTTCTTGAGGTTCTCCTGTGCATGAAAGAAACAAAATTAATACAGAGACTTGAGCCTTTTCTAGAGAGTGACCAATTCTTTAGAGGCCTATGTGGTTTAAAGCTTAGGGAAAAGTGTACAAGTGTTCTGTGAAACTAGATGAGATCCTAACCTGTAGCTTCTGAAGTCTCTGGTTTATACCTTGCCGTCCTGTATTTCTGTAAAAAAAGAGTTTAGATAAAGATAGTACAAAACGAGAAACAAACACATGGGTAAGAACAAACCTGCAGATGGCTTTTGACATGATAAATGGTCAAGATAGGGTTATTCAAGAGCTTCAAAACAGCCTTAGGCGTGGCTCCTATATGTGGAAATTATGAAAAGTCAAGAACAGAATTGAGACATTATTTTTCAGGAACAAAGAGAAGAAGAAAGATTACGCACGTTCACTACCACCAAGCTGATTAACAGCTTCAACAAACGCCTCATGAAGTTCTGGTGTCCATCGCATCCGCTGTTTAGTTGTTGCTGCACTAGCTGATGAGTTCAGCTGCTCCTCCAACGAAACCACCTGATGCTGCTGCTGGTTAGCTACTACTACTATCTCTTGTCTTGGTACATCCAAAGATGGTGTTGGTATCTGTTGCAAATCATGTGAACGCTGATTAAATGACACATAGCCAAATATAGAGATCATATAAAGGTAGAGAAACTGAACCTGTGGTTTTGGATCTCCAAGAAGTTCAGACCAGTTCGGCTCTGAACCATTGTCAACAGACATCAACTGATCTGCCCAACTTTGCCACTCGCTTTTCTCATGAAGCTCCACTGATGAGCCCATCTTCACTCCACTACTCTCTGCTTGTGGATTCAGAGCAGGAACATGGTCAGAAAAATCAAAGAAGTCTTCAAGTGGATCTGAAAACTCTGGAAGGTTATGATGATTAATCAATGACAAGGGTTGTGCTTCCAAAAAACAATCCTGTGGCATGGTGGAAACAGGTGGCTGGGTCTGGGAAGCCCTTCCATGAGTTGAGACAGCTGAAACATTGCAGAATCCAGAGGGAGAAGGAAACATATACCCACCAGAGTTGCCACCAGAGACCACAGGGTTGTTCATCAGTTCCTGCCCTGATGAACCCCAGAAAGAGTTAGGGTATCTATCTTCTCCAGAAGTATGTAGAGCTGAAAAAGAGGAAGACATAGCCGCTGAGTATCCCAAATCATTAGCCATAGTCATCGAAAAAAGAGCACCACACAGTATCCTAAACTCAGATGGAGAAAAAATAGGTTTGCAATGAAGGAAACTTTGATGCATATGAGAGTTAGACTCACTACAGAATATAACTTTATGCAGAGGAGATGAACCATTGAATAAAATTCCTTTTCTTTTCTATCATTTTTCCTCAGTCAAAAACAGTCTGCTCAGGAATATTCCCAACCTTTTTGTTTTGCTTTAGATCAAAACAAAACTCTAAGCTCTTAATCATCAACAAAATAACACTAAAAGGAAAATGAGAGGACACATCTAGTGTGCTTCATGGAGATGATGAAGCATCTTACAACTTAGATAGTGAAAGTCCATTACACTAGATATGGAATCAATGCTTAAAGAATGAAATTTACTCCCACTTTCTTTCACTATATGGCTTTTGATGAGCCATAGAGACTATTTTAAAACTCAAAGAACACAACAATAAAGGAGAATACTTTCTCAAACTTTTACAATCCTAAAGGCAACTCTAGCATCTAAACCCAGATGGGTTTATCATAAACTGTCTCTTCTTAAGATCATAAACAAACCCATCACTTAAAAATCAAACCTTTTGATTTCAAATTCACAAACTAAGGTGAAAGTTGATATCTTTCCTCTTCATTTAACCATCAAAAAACAGAGAGATTAGAGAAAAGAGAATCTTACTCGAACTCATCAACGGCAGCACGAACTCTAAAGAACACAAGAGGGCCCTGATGATTGATCAAAAACAAGGCTTTTTGGTTTTGTCTTCTCGATATCTTCAAAGAACTCTGTTTCTCCTTTATGTTGTGTCTCATCAGGGTTTTGTATAACTTTCCTGACCGCTTGATCCCACTCGTGTGTTCTATCAACGGCTGAGATTTTCGTGGAGTACGAATATTCTTTTCGCTTTTGTGGTAGGAGATCCAGAAAGGGCCCACTTAATGGCTATATTTGGCTTTTCTTGAATTTAGTTTAGTTTATTGTGATTGGTCAAATGCTGGTTAATACGCCAAGATATAATAATTTGTTAATTCTGTTTTTTAAAAAAAAAAAATTGTGTGACACAGAATTATTCTGCTAATGAAGCTCCGTTGAATTAGACTTTTTTGGATGGTAATTTAAATTTAACATAATTTAATTGAAATTGTGGAAGCATTTGAAAAGAAAGAATCAATTATGGGAAGTTTCTTAAGTATGAGTTTTTACTAATGGGTATTACAAATGACTAAGGCCCGTAGGCTTGTAAACATTTTATTTCTTCTGCTCTTTAATTTGAAAGTCAATCTTCAAAAAAAAAAAAAAAAAATTAGGTGAAGGTGGAGAATATCTATCTTATTAAAACTGAAGTACAAATCTTATATATTAAAACAGAAGTCACAACCTATATTCATGTGTGATTTTTTTTAAAAATGGACTATTTCTTAAGAAGATTATGAAGATTATTAAATGTTACATAATTTAATGATAATATCTTTAAATATCTTTATTTTTCTATTTGAAATACAAATGAAATAAATCCAACAAGATCTTTTTGACATCTTTTTAAATTATATTTCCATAATTTTATCCCATATATTTATCTTTTATTCGAAATACAAATGTTTTTGTTTAAGATATTAAAATTTATCTAGATAGCATTATATATTCCTAAATCCTAAATAAAAAACTATATATTAGATTTTAACCCACACAATATTTTTATTTTTATAAATATAACACTTTGATACTATTATAAAAAAATTAAATATATGATTTAAATTTGATGTTATATATTATATAACTCTATAATTTAGTTGTTTAAGTTTTTTATTCTTCATTATTAATATATAGTAATTTGTTTTATATATTTTAATTTACATTCTTATTGATTGTTATTACTAAATAATATATTTTTGAGTTTGATACATAAATTATAATTTAAAATAATTAAATTAGAATCTTCTTTAATATAGAGTTTTAATTTCTGGAATTTGCATACAATACATTTTAAAATTTATTTAGATACACTATAGATAAATATTTGTTAGTGATAATTTATATTTTTTGTTGTGTTTAAAAATGATAGTTTTACATCTATTATTTTAATATTTTACACGATTTTATAAGTAAATATATTATTAGTTATTGATATTTTTTTATAAATTATAAATAAAAAGAAAACCCGCACGGTTGTGCGGGTCGAGATCTAGTTGGGTTTGTTTGGTAGCTTGGATAGGAATTATAAAAAATAGATGTGTTTGGAAACTTGGATAGGAGTTTTAATAAGATAGATAAAAAATAAATGTATTTTGAAACATGGTTTCATCTATTTTCGGAAGCCCATCGATACCTTTTTTCCTGAAGCCCATCGATACATTTTTTCCAAATACCTTATTCCGAAAGACAAATCAAATGATACTTTTTTCTGTCACTCATCCTTCCTCCCCACGTAAAAACAGCAGTACAAATTAATATATCTACCTTAACGATTTTTGCGCAGGAAAAACTAAAAATATCTATACTAACGATCTGATCATATTTGGGAATCAGAATATACCTTTCCATCGTCATTATACCTAAAAGTTAGCACCAATATAAACCACCATTCACCTCTTACCAATAAATACTCTTCTATCATCCTAACATTTCTCTACGCCTAACAAAAAAAAAAAAGACTACTATGGCTATTGTTACAGACGACAAAATCAGTTTTTTTAAAAGATGTGAAGCCATTTAAGATTTCTTGGAAGGTTGAAGTCAAAGTTCTTCGGTCGTGGACACTTCACTCAAACGATTCTGGAAAAGACACTTTCGAGTTCATACTCGAAGATAAAATGGTATGTCTTGCTTTTTAACCTATTTTTAAAAAAATCTTTTAGTGCCAACGACTAAACCAATGTATGATTATTTATTATTGTAGGGATGCAAGATACATTGTACCTGTAAGAGCATCTACCTTGCTCGTGTAAAAAAATTGCAGATTGGTCAATGGAGTTTCCTTGAGAATTTCACGGTTTACGTACCCAGCTACCGGGCTGTACAGACCAACCAGCCACATATATAAGATCTCTATCAGAGACTCCACTGACGATTGCACTGTCACCATATATATAAGATCTCTATCACCTTTCATCTAATGAAAATCTAATTGATAATTCATTCACCTAATAGGTAAAATAAAAAATAGAATTTACTAACCGTGTGCTGTTCCAGTTGGTCGTCAAATGTGTTGTCTAAATTTGTTATATGTAGTCTGGTCTTCATTCTCCAAAACGTTAGAATTAAGGATTGAATCTTTGTCTTCTTCCTAAATCAAGTAAAACATATAATTCTTTTTCAAATCTTATACAGAACAATCACACACAATGCATTTTTTAAAAAAGGATAATACTTGACACTATATTTGTTACCTCCTATGTCTACAGACCATAAGATTGATATCATCTGCCTCATGGAAAGATGTCAAGCCTCTGCTGCAGTGGATCTCTGCAAGGTGATAATCTGCACATTTATTTGAATTTTAGAAAAACACAGAAATATGATTCTTGACATCTGCCAAAACTGTGATGGAAACTTAAATAATACCATACACCATCTCTGGAGACATGGACAACCTTAACCATAGTTTTCAATTAAGAAAAAACTTGCGCCTGCACGGATGTCTCTTCTTCGATACATCTCTTTCATACTCTTGGCAAAATACCTCTGTTGTAACTCTTTTTTAGCTAACTCAGATGGTACTTTCATTACTAATACTTCATACCTGAAAATTTTACAGAAATTATAAATCAATCAAATTTAAAAACAAGAGTATTTTAAATCTATTTATAACAAATACTTACCATTGAGTTCCTCCATTCTCATTCACTGGATTCTAAATTAGGAGTTATTTCTTTATGAACGGTAGATCATTATTTTTGAGACAATCCATCTTGAACACGCTATCCATTTATCCTCACTGATTCCTCATCCTCTTCTCATGTCTCAAGCTACCAATTAGTCTCCAATCTACGACGATCTCTGATAGTTAATATATGTAAATATCAAACAAACAAAAGAATAAACACATCTATGAAGACTCTTACCTTGAATCACTTAAGGAGTTTAAGGTTAGTTGAGACACAGAAAAGTAATGATTTAATCTTAGTTTCCCTGAAAATAATCGATCCACGGATTTGATCTCTGATAAAATCATCATCGTAGCAGAGATATGAAGAGAGAAGACCAAGAGAGAGACGAAACTCTTTTCTTTGTTTTCACCGACAAAGAAGCATCTCGGTGCTTAACTAAAAAAGTATTAGGTTTGTTTGTTATTTTTTTTTCGCGGACTAATCTGTTGGTATTAAAACTGTGCTTAGTCTTTACTCTTTGCTTATTGTTTTGCTGTCCACCGAGCCCAATTAACAAATCTGTTATCAATAACATGTTTAATTTATAAAACATATACTAAACACAAATTTTAAAATACAGATGATTTTTATTTGTTTAGAAATTTAAATTACAATGTAAATTTTTAATTTAAATGAAAATATGTCACATTGTTATATAAAACCACAGACTGAATTAATTTTTTGATTAGAAAGGATATAAAACATTATAGGAACTGCTTAAACTAAAAAGACCAATATAAATGGGTATAAAAGAATGTTCATCAAAGAAACTGTATGTGCATAACATATAAAAATAGTTTCACTAAGAAATATACATCCAATAATTACAAACAAATAATCTATATTCTAAAAGGGAAATAGAAAACCCACTAGCATACAATTAGTGTTTTTACATCATGTTTGTGCGGTTTTAAAAGAGTAAAGGCATGTTCATGTGTGGAAAAATCAATAAAAGAGTAAGGGCATGTTCATGATGATTTCTAGAGAGGGTTAAAATCAGACTATCCTCTGTGCGGCAAAGTTTTTAAGAACCTAAAAACATGTTATAAACTATACATCTAGAAACGTCGTTAAACAATTTGAAAATACAAAACAAAATTCAAAACCCACACTAACGTCGTTAAACAATTT